TTTTTTTTCTTTTTTTTTCTTTTTTTTTTTGCTGGAAACTCCCATGTGAGTCAGTAAATCCAAACGTTAAGGTGGCCTTTGGATCCACGCGCTCCCTGACTGGAGTCGCTCATGTTTTTCCCGGATGCCACTTGGGGTTCGGAAAACACTCCTTCATGGTGGTGGGGTTACTTCCTGCGAGACCTATGGTCATCAATCAGGGGAGCAAGTGAAACCCCCCACAGCGTCTTCAGCAGACGCTGTGCGTTCAGAGGCAGCAGGTGGGCCACTTTCAGATGCTGTTAGGAAATGACAGAAAACATAAAAAACCCACATTTTTAGAATAAATACGTAAAGTAGAAGCATCTGCTTTTGTTTGTTGCAGGTCCTTTATGAGATATGTTAAGAATTTGTTCTTTTCAGACKTGTTTCATGTCTTGAAAACTTTTCTGAAGCCACTTTGATCCACTTTTATATTTTCATGATCTCCTCTGGAGATGATTGGGCTTCAGTAAGTTTTAGGTTATTAATATTAATTTGGAAGATAAAAGTTATTACACCTAAAATTGACTGTTTTTACAATTTAATTTCTTTTATCAATGTGTGAMACTTCTTTTGTTCTGCACAGATGCCCAAACTGGAATATTACAGTTCTGTGATATGCTTTGTTTTTTGAGTGCTACATCTGAAACTCTGACTTGAARTAGTCCTCAAAGTTAAACAGATACTTAGAAAGACAGCTGGGAGACTTGGCCTTCTTGATCCTAATGGATATGATATTAAGCACTAATAAACCAGTGACAGAGATTCACTAAAAAGCAAGAACAGACACCCCAATCTTCAGCTGCTCCAATCCATCACTGTTTGTCATGTGTACAGCAGGGATTGAGAGTTCTTAAGAGACCAAAGTTCAGTGAATGTGTTTGACACTTTGCTGGGTACAGTATGATTTCAAACAATTTACATTATCTCGGACTTTTTGTGTGTGTCAAAGAGGAAAAAGAAACTACCTCGGGCTGGCCAGGAGTCATTCATCCATTCACTCAACACTCTGTCTTTGCACGTCTCTAAGTCAACAAGACAGCGTCGTAGGCGACACGGAAAACCAGACAGGTCTGGGAACAAAAACGAATAAAAGATACAACAGATTCTTTWAAAAKAAKAAKAAGAAGAAGAAAACRGAGYAGCAAGTTGGCAAAGTGTCAAATTTAGAGAAAAAAAAATGCCAGTGTCAGCATTCATACTTATGTCTGAATTTTCCAATGAACTGCCATGGAAACACAGGGCATGCAAACAGGTACAACGCTCAAACATGAGCGAATCTCTTTGACAGAGAGGGTATCATTTTAGACAAGCTTGTGCAGAAACAGTCATGAGTTACTAACGCTCCCAGCTGCCAGCCTGATGGTTCACTGTTCGACAAAACTGAATTCAGACGGGACTTTTCTGCTAAAAAAAAATGAAAAAGAAAGGCCGTAGAACTGCACCAGTTAGTAGATTAGTTACCTAAAACTGAAAGACCAGCGACTCGGCAACTTGTGTAATTCAATCACCACCAACGTTTTCTTTTTTTTTTCTTTTTCCACTGGATGTCCACAGGATTTCCAAGCAGGCAGAGTTACAACTCTGAAGTCTAGAGGATGATAAATGTCTCCCTCCCATGTTCTTACTTGCTCTGCCCGCTCACCACATCAACCAGATGGTCTGAAAGCAAAAGGGACAGAGACATGATGATGACATTTGGCTTTCTAAATGAAAACATATCATTTAACGTTTTTCTCTCAGGAGATTTTGCCGCCGCTTTTTGGTCTTCTGAGGATACAGCAGCACAGCGATGCAAAGAGTAACCACAGGATCATGTAGAATTGAAGAGCCCAGTTTTTATTATTACATGCAGAGCATGAAATTATGTTTGCAAACACAATAAATTTTCCTGACTGAAAGCAATGAAAAGGAGGCATGTTTTTTTTATATTTTGCAAAACTGGACGGTTTTGAGCTTTTTTTGTGTCTTACCAGTAATTGCTATGTAAATATCAGCATCCAAGAAGAGTTTGCAGGTTTTCACTAGAACTTCAAAATACAGAAAATTTGTTTGCATTTTGTAGTAGAACTCTATTTTTGTCACAAAAAGAGACAGTCTTCAGTGAAGGAGAATCCTCTAATTTGTGGGAACTTATTTAAAGTGAAACTGTGCTAAACGTTGCCACACACATGCTGCATGCTACTAGCAAAAAAGAAAAAAAAACTTTTGGTTCAAACTATTATTAGGTGATAATAAGATGATGACCTTTCTTCCAAAAAATGTGCATGGTGAGCTGAACTACTGTGTTGGTTTGAGGGGGAAAAAATCCACAGTGTTTTGTGTTTGGTCAGAAACTCAAAAAGGAGCATTTTAAACAGCTGGAGCTCTAGCTTTATTGAAATTAGTTGCATTTTTTAAAATAAAACATTTAAGTACAAGAGTGTAAATCATCCAGCTTTTATTTTCTGTTATTGTCAATAAATCCCRCAAAATAAGCAAATCTAAATGTGACAATTCTAAGTAGTGAAAGAGCCCATCTCTCAATACTTTGTGATTTTCTTACCTTATTTGTTGCTCGATGTGTCAAGCCAAAAAAGTGAAAGGTTTCAGCTGTTTTTATGAAATACTATTTTTTTCTCTAAATATCTCGGGCTGTGTCGCTTTAGGCAAATATTATTCAGAGAAGTGTAAATACTGCATTAACTGGGAACTATTTTCAGCTGTGGATGAATACCCTGTTTGTTCCCCAGTGAGTATTTATGATATTAAGATGGGGAAAATAAATTCATGGCAACATGTGGCAATAAAAAGTTTGTCTATCCAAGTCCAATAATTATGCTCATTAATATGTTCTCTGTTCTTAAAAAGATATTGTTAAAAAATATATCCAATTCAGGATAAACAAGTATTTCAGCATTATTGCACACCTCCACACTTGCTTTGCTAAATTACCAAACAACAACAAGAAAAACTGATTGCTTTACTTTTCAGAGTTTCACGTTTTGTCATTCTGGTACTGAAAGTCAAAACACTCACCACCAGTTTAATGCAGCTGGAGGATTTTTAATGAGTCTGTGCAGTGGATAATGATGAAGCTCCACCAGTTCCCACCCACACAGTGTTGTTTATTTTCCAACATGGAGCTTAATGCATTCAAACTAATTGTTTTGTTCCCTTTATTTTTAGTTGAGTGTCCAGGAAGTTATTTGGTGTTTTTAGAGGCTTTATGTGTTTAAATTGCAGAATGTTCCTCCTTTTCTAAAATAAATACATCTCAAAGCTGAGTTATGAAAAATAAATGCCATCAATTAAGCAAAACGTTTAGTGTTAAATGTACAAAACTTATAGATCAGCCATTTCCCATATGTTTTGTAAAAGTAAAGGTTTCCTTCAAGCATTGTTACTCTTGAAGCCACAGCTCATCGTGTTGTCTTTGGGATTGTTTTCATACGAGTGTGATGTCACTCTGCTCGCCTTGTGTGGCTGCACTCTCCTCCCAGTGGAGTGGCCTGTGTCAGACCCTTCATTCAGTTCTGAACTCGTGTTTTCGCCATGCCAAATTAGCAGCCACCCTTTGGGTCAGTGCTGCGTGTGAGTAGCGGGATGGCTGAGGCACGTTTGAGTGAGAAGCACCAATAACAGCAAYATGCATGCTTCTCCACAACTGGCTGCACATCGTGTTCTTCAAAGGGCCCTCGCTCACTCCCTCTCTCTTCCTCGTTGGGAGTTGGTTTAGAGCTGCAGTTAACTGTGTGACACACAGTGGGCCACGAGCGCCTTC